CCGTCTCTGTGCGCTGCAGGGGCTTTATTGCAAAAAAAGTCACTTTTTCCTCCGTGAACTCGTTGTTCGTGAGCATTCTCTCTCCTGAAATTTATTACCCCGTGACCGCTCTCTCTCTCCCCCAAAATATCAACTCGTGACTTCAAAAATTTCCCCAAATCCGTTCATCTCACCTACATTTCCAATTCCAACGAGATCAGCTACTTTCTCCTCCGATGAGATCAGCTCCTACGAGATCCCCAAATCCGCTGCTTTCTCCTCCGACGAGATCAGCTCTCCTCCGACGACATCAGCCCTCGACACCACGAGATCTCGAGCCTTCGACGCCGCTGCTAAATCCGCTCACGAGATCTCGAGCCTTCTCCTGCAACAGAGCCGCCGCTTCCCCAAATCCGCTCACGAGTTCTCGAGTCTTCGACGCCGAAGCCCCGTCGAAGACGCTTCCTCCTCTCTCTCTCTCTCGACGCCGACGCAGGTAAAAACCCTAACTTGTGGATTGAATATTTCATTCGAATTTGTATGCATTGAATATTTCATTCGAATTTCTAACTTGTGAATCAGAGATATCAAGCTAATTTATACAGTAGCTCAGAGGTGTTAGACATGTTTATCTCTGTATAACAAGAATCTCCATTTATAGAATTCAGAATTGTTTGCCTTTTGTGGAGTGGAAATGTTTTAGGAGTGGAAAATGTTTTAGGAAGAGTGGCGCTGAAACTGTTTTCAAGGAAATGATGCAAGTAGTAAATTGTGGAAAATGTTTTAGGAATCATGATTGAAATATTAAGGATGTAAATGAAGTCAAATCTTGATAATATAGATTACAGAAACTACCAATATTACAGAAACTACCAATATTTTCTGTTAACTGCTGGCTGTGAAGACAGAAACTAAAGCATGAAAGATGTAATTAACATATAACATTATTCTTGTGTAATTAATGCTATTTTTGGTTATCTATGTAGATTTGAAATGGAGGAAACAAATTCAACCAGTGTAGAGTTCGGAATGGAGGAAACAAATTCAACTAGTGTAAATGCTCCTAAACCACTTATGGGAATGAAGTTTAATAGTTATGAAGAAGCTTATAACTATTAGAACTCATATGCATTGTTGATGGGTTTTGGAATAAGAAAGAGCACGGTGAATTACTCTCGCAAGACTAGAGAAGTGGTAGACAGAAAGTTTGTTTGTGATAAGGAGGGCTATAAATCTAATAAAGACAAGATGGAGATTCATCTTCGGCGAGAGACCCGGGTGGGATGTAAAGCAATGATGCGAGTGAAAATATTGGAGGACAAATCGTGGGAGGTCACAGGGTTTGTTGAAGAACATACAAATCATGTGATTGGAGGACAAATCGTGGGAGGTCACGGGGTTTGTTGAAGAACATACAAATCATGTGTTGAGTAGTCCAGACAAAGCAAAAATGCACAGATCACATCAACAATTTCATAAAACCCAAAGATGTAAAAAACTTATTGATAGCCTGCGTGAAGAAGGTATGCCTCCTTCCACTATTTCTCGCGTCATCAATGCAACTAATGGAAGAGAAGGTGAATTAGTAACATCACAACAATGCATTGATCATATCAGAACCCAAAGAGTCAATAATATTGGTCATGAATGCATATCTATCATTCGACATTTTCAGAGTGCGACAGCGAATGATCCAGAATTTTACTTAGTGGACAAATGAGGAGTGTTTTCTGGGCCGATGGAAGATCAAGAGCATCTTATTTGAAATTCAGTGATGTTATTGTGTTTGATGTGACATACAGAACTAATAAGTTCAGTCTTCCATTTGCTCCATTTACTGGTGTGAATCATCATAGGCAGTCCACTTTACTTGGTTGTGCATTATTAGCCGATGAACAGGAAGATACCTTTGTTTGGTTATTTGAAGAATGGCTGAAATGCATGCATGGCATTGAACCAAGTGCTATTATAACAGATCAGGATAGAGCAATGTGTAATGCTATTCACTCAGTGTTTCTAACGACAAGACATCGTTATTGCTATTGGCACATGCAAAAGCATATTATTGATCATTTGCCTACTTTGGTATCTCGTTATGGTGAACAGTTTCAAAGGTATTGGGGCTTGTGGTGCAATAGTTCGTCAATTGAACAATGTGAAGGATATTGGGTTGAGATGAAAGAGAAGTTTGATATAAATAAAGAAGGGGAGGGATGGTTGCAAACAGTTTACAACTACAGAGAACACTGGGTGCCGTGTTATCTGAAGGATACTTTTTTTGCTGGAATGAGATCGAGCCAAAGGAGTGAAAGTATTAATGCATTTTTTGATGGGTATGTTAACTCACAGACTCAATTACACGAGTTTGTGACACAATATGAAAAAGCAGTAACTCATCGTCGCTTAAGTGAAGCCCATGAAGATTTTAAGAATCTGAACACAAAGCCAGTCATGCTCCTTGGACATCCAATTGAGGTCCAAGCTGGAGAAATGTATACACGCAATATGTTTGATGTGTTCCATACTGAATTCAAAGGATTTAGTACAGAGTTCTGTGAAGAATTGAGAAAAGATGGGGACATTGTTGAATACAAGGTCTGTAAGTTTACAGATAGAGGAAAATAGGAGGTGGTTACTTATGAACAATCCAGTCAGATCCAGTTCTGTTGCACTTGTGCTTTGTTTGAAACTAATGGTGTTGTATGTAGACATATATTATCGCTAATGATAGCTTGGCAAATGGATTCATTACCCGACCACTACATCCTACACCGTTGGACCATACATGCAAGGCATCGTAACATTGGGGTTGGCAATATTGTATTTGGAAGAAACATCACCAGCTGTGAAGAGAAGATTAATTTATTGAAATCTTGGGCCTTAAGAGCAAAATTCAATAATGCGCTCGAGCTTGCATTTGCTTCAGAAGAGAAGATGCAAAATCTAGATGATGTGCTAACAAAATTTATAGAACCACTGCAAGAAGAAGTTGGAGCACATTCCTCAAATCAAGATCAAATGGTGGACACTCAAATATCCGCACACATCTCAAATACAAAGCACATTCCTCAGATTACAGTTCGTGATCCTGATAGAGCTGCAAGGACTAAAGGTCGTCCACGTAATGCAACTAGAATCCAGTCAGGTTTAGAACAAGCACAAGAAAAGAAAGAAAGGAAGAAACGTATATGTAGCAGATGTGGTGAACTCGGGCATTATAGAACTAGTTGTAAAGTTAACTTGCAAAGGTACCATTTTCGCGACTTCAAATTCGAAATTCCGACAACGGTCAGACAATAAATGCAGCACCAGAACTCTTACAGACATTCGACAAAGCACCGAATAGCCTGGAGGATTGAAGGAATCAAGAACAGAAGCCATTCCAAGGTCCCGTTACACCGACTGAAGGTTGGGACAATCATATCCAAAGTATTCCAAACTCTTCTATAAAAGAACGAGACTAAAATACTTTGGAGGGGGTATTTGTAGGCATATAAAATTGCTTATAGGTCCCTTGGCGTAGCTCGGCACAAACCGACGAACCAACGAGGTGACGAGGTCAACAAATCGCACGCGAACAACGGAATAGATTCACTCGCGTGCGGAATCAAGCCAACGGCTCAATGAGTCAACGAATCATCCAACCATATAACAGATTCGAACTCAAACGCCAAAGCCGATTTACTGCCAAATCGGGATCCAGAATTCCAAATCAGGATTCAGAACAGATCGGAGTTCAGTTCAACACCAAGAGCGGACTCGGACGAATCACGATCGAATCATGATCAGTTTCGGACTTAAACTCAGAAATTGATTTACTGCCAAATCAGGAATCGGATCTACTGCCAAATCAGATCAACAAATCAGGATCCGAATCAACCACGAGACCGGACAAAAAGACGAAACCCAAAACACCCTGAGGGGCTCGACCGAAACCGAGCCACCT